GCTCAAGCATCCTATCATTGAGACAGAAGAGAGACATACAGAATTTTATCTTGTCAAAGCCGTAGCCTAACGGTTAGCGCACATGCTCCAATATGTTGAGCCTTGGTGCACATGCAGGTAGCCAAGTTCAATTCTAAACAATTATAAAAAATTATAAAACTAAAGAGGGAAAAAAGGAAATATAGGAAATTTTTGGGATTAGACATTTTATTTTAGAGATACAGTAATAAAATATTGGCTAATATGATGAATATTTAAATTTTATGGCCAATATTAAAATTCTTTACTATTTTGTCTAAATGAAATAAAACACTAAACTAAACTAAAATCCATAATTGTAAAAGTTTTTAAATATTATTTAAATTATGAATTATGAAATTATAAATTATTAAATTATTAAAAATATTATTTAAATTATGAAATATTATTACATTTAAAATACTTTTTTATTATATTTTAAAATGTACTTTATTCCTGTGATAGCAAAGCTGAATTTTCAGGATAATTACTCCTGTCTTCGTTATCACATGATCCTTCAGAAATCTTGTTGATTAAAGAAACATGCTGTTAAAGAAACATTTATTATCATTGTCAATGTTGAAAACAACAGTGCTCCTCAATATTTTTGTGGAAATCCTGATTTTATCTCTTTTTTTTTTTTTATTGACAATAGCAATACATTAGTATTAGCCAGTAACTGATACTGTGGCGATATATATTGTGCATCCTTGTTGTTTATGTTTATTTGACAATATATAAGTGGGAGTATGTGGCAAGTATGTGTCTGTATGTGTTAAAGTGTGTTGTCTGTTCTCCACTTATTGTGCCTACATTTTACATACAGTGAGAGATTTCCCCAAGCCACTGGCAGTGCTACACACACACACAGACACACTCATGTCTCCACAGCCAACTCCCACCTCACCCGTCTGGCCCAGACTCAACTCGTTTGGCCTGAGCCAGGGAATTTCAGCAAAGCGTTCTTTTCATTCTGCTCTCATTTATTTTAACTGATATACTCTGATTAAGAGCTTTGTGTCTGTCTCTCTCTCTATCCTCAGAGCATCAGGAAGTTAGGAAGGGAGGGATGCAGGGAAGGAATCTGCTGCCAAAATATGTGAATAATTAGGGCGAAGGCAGTGGGCTGGTGCCAGGCCGAGGGGAGGCATTTGCCCGGCTTATTAGATCCACTAAAGCACAGCTGTAAATCAGTGTCAGGTCCAAAACCAGCAGCGCTCCAGAAACTTCCTGAGCCAAGACGTGTCAGTTAGCCAGGCTGAATACGGCTAAGAAATTAAGTTATAGCTGGGCGGCTTGATTTTAACTCCATTTAGCACTGTCATCCCTGTTTTGTTTTTTGATGTTTTGGTTTGCTATTTCTTTAAATCACTATTCGGATGAAATTAAAATCACAAATTTGTATTTGAAACATGAATTTACCTAATCTAGTCACGTCCGAATAAATCTAAAGAAATACTTCCGAGCTTTTATTGGAAGTTTTTCTGCCACAATCATTCCAACAGTCATCTTCTTTTTAACGCCATTTCTTCTGTTTCAACATTAGCGCTAAAGCTGGATGGGGTTTGTTTCCATTGTTGGAAATGTGGTTTAAAACAGTGGAAATCTGATTACTTCAGCGTCTGAGAGTTGGCGGTGTTGATTTAGTGTTCGCCTGATGAAGGCCAGTTAAAGATGGGCTTCCTCTGCCAGAGTGTTTAGAGAGTGACACATCATCATTACCGAACCATTTATGGCCCTTCGGATCACAGTCCAGAGAGCTGCTCTATTGTTCTGTGCAGAATTACAGAGTGAGAGAGAAGAACAAATGATAAAGAAAATGAGCTGGACAGAGCGCAAAGGGATTGAGACCCAGTGTACAACTGGTGTACGTGGATACAACGGAGTCTGCCCTCCGTGCCGGAGGAAGTCCAATCAACGTCACTATTCAGCTCATTGACAGGCTGCAAGAGGGTGGAATCAGAACACATTGTTCCTGAGCCGAAGATAATAAGGACCTCTGCAGTGACGACAATCTCTACTTTATGCCCCTCATCATGAGAGACTCACCGTTGTGCTCTCAAACGCAAAGACCTTTTAGACACGCATCTCCTTGGGGGCTGTGACTCTTGAGATGAATCATGTCTTTCATTTTTAGTGTTTTATTCCCACGTTTAATGGAGCGGGCATTATCTATAGCAAACATAAAGGTCAGAAGCACAAGAGGTTGCTAGAATTTCTGAAGATTTTTTTGCCGTAATATTTTATGTAGAACTGGAATCGCCAACTACCTTGTGGAATTCTGTGAAATCAGTTTCAGTCTCTCTTGTGCTGTTAACTTCACTTTTGTACTCCAATACGGTGCCTCATAGCAGCTTTGATTACATTGAGAAACACAGATTCACAGGTTACTCTTATTAACTAGTGGATCTCTAAGAAATTATGTGAATTGCTTATAAGAAGTTGTCAGCCAGTTTAAATTGAAGTTAACCTCAGGATTAACCTAGTTAGCTAAGGTTGACTAGTTTGTCTAGATACCATAGACATTGCAGATAGACATGTTTGTCCATTTTGTTGCATCTAAAAGTGTTTTATGAGCATTGCATTTTTAGGACAGTGTGTTAGTTACAGAAGCCACTTTTTAAGTCATTTTAAGTAAATTAAAATAAGGGGACGAATTTACAAATATCTGTGTATTCTGTTTCATTCTGTTGCACTCACTCACTTTTTAAATGCAAGAACGTGTCTTATAAACGTCCCTCAAGAATGTGTCCAATCTGGGTCAGGTGAGCCCGAAATTATTAAGTATGATAATTCATCGGCAACCCACCAACTAGTCAATTTGGAAAATATGTAGTTTTGCACAAGTCTCTCTTACATTCCTTTAATCATTCTTTCCGTCATCATTTCTCTTTCCTCCATTTGTCTTTCTATAGCATTCGTCACCTTTTCTACTTAAATGCAGTGGCATAGTCAGCCAAAGATGGATGGGTATGATACGCCTGCGCTAAATAGTGAGGAAGGAAGGTGTGTGTGTGTGTGTGTGTGTGTGTGTGTGTGATGAGGAGCTTTCGCAGGGCTGAGCTGCAGGCGCAGGAGGGGAAGATGTATGAGCCTCAGGGTTCTGGGCAGTGGAAAACAGTGCTCTGAACTAATGATCCACAGCCTGATCGTTAGAGCCCTTACAGCAGCTCGCAGCAGCACGAGGTGCCGTCCCTGGGAAATCAATTCTGGAGACGAGTCCTGGAGGAGACCCAGAAAGAGGGGGGAAAGAGGCGGACGAGGGGAGGATGGGTGGGCAGTGGTGAAGAAGAAGAAAGCTCTTTTGATCATAAGAGCCTGCAGGCGGAATGAATCTAGGTCCCCTAGAAAGCGGTTCCAATGATAGGCTTGTTCCGGCTCCGTGCCCTCACGTCTCTCACAGCCAGCCCCAGCCGAGCACAGAATGCTTTGGAGAGTGCTCTGGGCTTGATTAATCTCCCCTAGCTGCAGTGCCATCAATCCTAATACTGCAGTGATGAAATGGTCGGGCGTCGGGGGGAGGGGAGTTTCATAAGTCACTTTCGTAACATATCATGATAAAAAAGGCATCAATCAGGGCGTGCAGAATGATGACGGATACCGTCGCTCTGGAGAAGACAGAGAGGGCGAGAGATGCCGTTGTATTTGAGGGCTTTTAAAGCTGAACGAGTTTGAAATGAGATCTGGATACGAATCCGTCATATGCCAGAGATGAATATTTTATTTTGTGGTTGACAGTGAGTTTAGGTTTTAAGCTATTGCTCTTTATTAAACCACACACTCAAGCACAGGAACACACACACACACCAGCAGTTGTACAAGAAAACACACCATCTCAGAGTCCTAAACTACTGGTTCTCGGCTGGTTTTAATTCATTGTTCCCAGATTTTACATTGGAAATTAAGTTTGGACATGGTGCCATGAATTGGTTATCATATAAAGAATAAAAAATGTCCTTAAAATCAATCAATCAAGCTCAATAGGCCTAACAATATGCAAAAAAATTAACATTAGCCTGAATAGGTTTTCTAACAAAACACATAAATGTTTCTTTTATATTTTTTATTTTATATATACACTAAGGTTAATGGGTAACAGTATTGTTTTTACTGTTGTTGTTGTTGTTGTTTTTTGTTGAAAGAAATTAAATGAATCAAAAATGACTCGTCAGAGAATCCTGAAAAAAAAAACATTAAGAGATGATATGTAGAAAAATAAGAAATGTTTCTTTAACAGCAAATCAACATATTGATCATGTTACACTGAAAAATGGAATAATGAATGCTGAAATTCAGCTTTACCATCACAGGAATAAATTGCATTTTAAAATATATTCAAATAGAAGACAGTATTTCACAATATTACTGTTATTACTGTCTTTATGTTCAAATAAAGGCTGGCTTGGTGTAAAAGAGACTTCTTTCAAGAACATTAAATCTACAGACGGACTTAAACCTGCTTGTTTGTTTTGGTTTTATAACTACATAATTATGTTTTTGGTTTATTTTTTATTTCATTTTTCATTGTTTTTTTTCTCACTCAGAACAGACCTCCAACACATTTTTTGGGTCCACCATCTTTTTTCAGCTCTGTCTATGTGCTTCTCTGAGCCCTGATCCTTAATCAGATTTTTATATCCAAATCCTGATCTCAACCATCACACAACTGATTTGAAACCAGTAGTTACCAACACCTCCCCCCTTCCTCGCTCGTTCCTCATTATACAGGCAGTCAAGCAGGCCGAGGCTATCACACTGAAAGCTGCTATCTCTGTTGCCCAGCTGTGGGCTCTATCTCACTATCGCTTTGGGCTGAACCCAGCCATAGACAACCAGGAGATTCACATAGCACTCAGGAAATTAGTCTGCTATCTAGATAGGCAGCCATATTGTCTCGCCAGAACTATGTGTGTGTGTGTGTGTGTGTAGTCAGAACGTTACCCATCCAGCATAGCTGATTACACAAAACAAAGTATAGCCACTTTGAAACTAACATAAAAACTAATGTATATAATTGAGTTGAAAACGTGGTGTAAGACTGTAAGTTGTTTCTCTTATTGTACAATTTCAATACAAATGCTGTTGTTTTGATTTTGATTATGAATTACTAATTTCAGGTTTTGTAATAAATTAACCAGAACAAATGTGTATCACTGATCGAATTTACAAAAACATTATTTTCTGTGCCATGGTCTGCACATCAGTTGATTATATCGTGGAAAAAGCCGCACTGGAGGAAGAAAACCATTATCATTGTCCTGTTAATAAGCTTGTGACTATGTTCAGATCTGCTCTCCATCTCTCCAGAGACCCACAGCAAGCCTTAAATTAGCACAATAACACCGAAACAAACGAAAGGATTACAGCACAGAGCTTTCAGCAAAAAATTGAAAATAAGGCTTGAGGTTCTGGAGTATGTTGTGTGTTGCATGGATAATTTGTAGGTTAATTTGATAGGAAGCTTATTTATCTGGGTTAATCTGTGGTGTGGTTTATTGTAGTACAGCAAACATGAGAATACCAACAAAGAACAGGCTGTTTTCTGGCAGCAAGAGATTTGTGTGTTTAGTTTCTTTCAGCACTTTGGGGAATTGTTAAAAGCTTTAGCTCACAAACACACGAGCGAAAGTTATTTTTAGTAGAAATGAAATCTAAATGGAAAACTACCTTGTGTTTCGCACTGCAGTGTTAAGAACATTCCAGGCATTGGAACCCATTTTCTTGTTTCCTATTTCCAAAAAACATGTTTATTCTTTCTCAAAATATCTATTAATATGACTCTTAAATGATTGTTTTCCATTAGCTTCTTTTATCTAATAAATAGATACATTTCTTCAAAACAGAGGTCTGACATAAAAGGTTAAACAGTGAGTATAATGTCTTGTAGGATTCCTACCCATAACAGACACTGATATGCATGGAATCAACCAGCATGAGATCTAAACTAATCACCCCAGCACATGATTCCAATATTCTGGGTCGACTTCCTGCCAGTCTTGTCGTCATCTACTCAGAGGAGTGATTAAAGACTAATCCAATCAAGAGACAACAAAGCTTTCTTTGTATCAAGAACTAAAAAGTTCTTTCACAATATATAGTTGAGAGAATACCTCGTGATCGCTTAGGCATAGGACCCTTATATGTATGCACAGGAAATGGCTAATTTAATCACACCCTCAGGCTTGCAGAACAACAG